AACATTGTTTCTCACAAAAGTTAATTAAAGTTGCTCTCTTTGTTTTCTTTAAATGACAAAAAACAGGTATAACGATAATCAATACATAACCAATCGGTGGTTAAACATAAACAAGACAATATGCACACATGCTTTTAGATTAAGGTTCCAAAATTATAAACCATGACATAGGTAATGTTGATATTGACACTTTATAATAATAAATGTGACAATTTATTTAAAGCAATGTTTATTTTAATCATTTAAAAATATTATTGATTTATACATAAAATTGTATCAAATATCATGTTTACTATGCGCTGAACTTAAGTTGAGATCTGGCTTGAAAGTCAGAGCATATTGAGAGTTCACCTTGGCATGTGGTGAAGACATGAGCGGTAAGGAGCATTGTGAAATAGGAGGATAGCCTCATTCACCATGGGTTGATGTTGACATCAATGTTAACACTGATTCAAAAGTATTATAATACAAAAAATATTGACATCCAAAAACATTCATGTTTTAGTTGGCAAAATAATAAACAATCTAGAAATATTTTATTCCTTACACAAATTAGAAAAAAAAATTACATTCCTAGTATTTTTGGGTACATTGCTTAAGTCAATTTATTAGTAGTTTTCACTATAATCTGTTCCTTTATTGATACAGACGTTAACTAACTTTTGAAAAAGTCTTTTCCAAGCTGTCAAAGTCACTGTGCAGCACTATATTTAATTGCTACTCTTGTCAACTTTAGAAAGGTTGATACTAGGACTTGCCATAAGTCACAGATCCTAATGTTCAAAATTATACCGAGTTTCAATATAATTCTTGTAACATCGCTGATCCAATATGTTCCAGGACTTCATTTATGTAAAAACATTGACCCAAACATGTTTGCGATAACTATTTTTATCTGCCATCAATGAAAATCAAGCATCCCCTAATTTCTGCACATTGTAATTGAATGATCTGCAATAAATATTAGTACAATTTTTGTGGCAGTGGCATTAAGTTGGCAATGAAATTTTTTTGCAACACAAACTCAACTGAGGAAAGGTACTTAACAGTTGATCCCATTTTTATCCAATCCCATTTTTATTCTAATGACTTTGACATTGTCTAAATAATAATTTGCAAATCAACTTCTAAAGGCAAAATTGGCCTTTACAGTTTACTTTGTAGTATACAATTTGGTCAGATTATCTCTGCATATCTCTCGATGACGTCACATTCACAGGACGGTGTGCTAAACAAGCAGCTCTAGAAATATGATATTTTTTACCGACTGCCAGATATATATCTGTGAGGTTAACATTGAAGGATTTTGTGATTGAATATATATATATATATATATATATATATATATATATATATATATATATATATATATATATATATATATATATATATATATATATATATATACCGACTATAGATAACAGAGATATATGACTAGTAATATACTAGTAATTATATCACTATAAACAACAAGATGCTAACCATACTGACATGATCAGAGTGAGTGTGACAAGGTGAAAGGGGACTCGAGAGGGGCATCGCATTCCAGCGAGGTGCAGAGCATATTGTGACCATGTTATACAAACAAAAATATTGAAGTTAATTCAAAACATTGAACACTATAAGCAGGCCCAAAGTTGTGAGCTAAAACTGTTATAATTGGGCACAAGACTGCAGACATCATTATTATGCATCAGATACTTTATTTTGGCTATTTTTACTCACATATATTACGAACGATTTTAACGTACCTGTACATCTCCTCAATGACAATGTCAATGCAAGCTGAGGTGCGGCCTTTCCTTTGGAAAGCACTTTTCACATCAGCAGCTGAAACAATTGGATCGGTTTTGTAACGACACCACTGTCGCACCAGGTCCGACCAGAACTTCATCTTCATGTCCCAAGATTCCGGGTTCGCTGATTTTATCCTAAACGGCGCAAACAATGCATTCATTCGAACATCGTCCGACCAACATTGTGGGAGCTTATCGCTCGGTATTTGACGGTCCGTTAAACCCATAATGGGTTTTTATTGTTTTCAATTTAATTTATTCAGAACTAAAATATTAAACGTTTATATTAGAAAATTAAACGAAAAATAGGTAGGTAAATAAAAAAGCACGCACGATCAACACCTTCTTGACATATGGAAAACAGGAAAAAAAATTACAGTTTACCGAGTACCAACATCACAGCTAAAATAACCGCTAGAAGACCTAGACAAAGAGTATGGTAATATACAACGAGTCAATACCTAACGAATTACATATGACTGCGCTAGCACTTCTTATTATAATATAGTTTGTGAATGTGACTAAATTCATGTAATGATGATTATACGTACTCTAATTATTGTCCATAAACTGAATGCTAAGTGTGCCTAATACAAATGGAAGATAAAAAAGAAAACTTAATAAAAATGACAGTGTATGACGAATGTAAAAGATTCGGGCCTGTGGTCAGGGCCGAGTTCGGTGTACAATAAATCAGCAACTTAGACACTGACCTCTATTCATATAAGTACGCTGGAATGGCTATACCATACAAAATGACTGTGCCAATTTGAAGCGCCGCTAAAGGATGTCTTTAAAAATAAAATTGACATAATATGCCAAAGTCTGTTGTCTTATTAATATTATCTTATTTAATCATTGACTTATATTAAACTAAAAAACGAAAGAATTTTATGTTGTTTGATTGTGTATAATATTAGTTACATAATAAGAATTATTTTTATTAATAATGAGAGTGTGCGTAATCTGTAAAACTCGTTACCAAAAAGGAAGTGGTATTTCAATTTAAATTACAAATTAAAACTATTTGATAATATAAGTAGTCAAAAATTTGTTACTAATCTTAATATCATATATAACAACATGTTTAGCTGTATATTACTGAGTTGTGATAAACAATAAACTTCAATAGGGTTGTTGAGTTCCTTGTCTATAATACTTATCGATGTTCTTTCCTACCCATATCTGTTAACAAACAAAGTCGCTAACAACAGATGATTATCAAATGTTCATTAATTAACAGCTTTCCAACTGAACCTGAAAAGGAACCAGACGAACGTTAAACTAAGAAACAGAAGGGGGAATCGAGGCTTCTCTCGATCCGGCCTCCTATAACGCCTACGTTGGGTTCGGGAACAACCTATGTGATCTCCGCAACGGAGTAACACACAAGGGCGATAACCTCTTCCTTTTCAGAAAATAGGTTCAGGCGGGGATTACGGGTCTTCCGAAGTCGTCCCGGTCCCAACGCCTTAATTCTACGATATGGACTCTATTATTTTGAGGGAAGAATTCCTTGGGAATAAAACAGCAATTATCTTCAAACCGTTCCGTGAGAGAGTAATTACTTTTCCCTATCACTTCCCTACACTTTTTCTTTCTTCTTCTTAATGGCTGCTGGTCTTGCACTTTTCCCGAAGTTTCTCCGAACTTCCCCGAACTTTCTCGAAGGATTCCCGAACTTCCCCGAAGTTTCCCGAAGGATTCCCGAACGAATTGCAAGAAAACTCGTTTACTGAGCTACCCCAGAGCTATACGCGGAAGTGAGCCGCGCCATTTGTGCGCTTGCGCAACTCAATTACATCAATTTGTACTATCACTCTCTCACGGTTTACCCAATAACTTTATTTGTATAAGACATACATTTATACAATTTACTTATAAAGATAGCACAAAAAAATATCTGTACTGCGATATACACTACATTTTTATATCACAAAAAACCTCTTATTTATTTAACAAAATATGCTTATTTTACTCGCATGTTCAAAGTTGGAATTTCTTAAATATTTAACATAGAAAGTTAAAACAATGTTTTCCACTTGAAATTATACATATCTTAAGCAATACAACAGTTTAATTTACATTTTCTCTATACATTTCACCATTAAAACACTTTTAAATTTCTTATACAAAACTATCATTATTTCACTTATTCAGGAATTTTCACATAAAAATAACACAGAATTCACCTCTTTTACACGTACAATCAATCTGAAATGTTTTACAAGTCATTTTTACATAAATTGCTGTAATTGCAAATATTTAAATCTCTACATATTTGGCCTCCTAAGTACGTGGCTAGCGTGCGTCTATGAACTCACACTATTTGAACAACTAACTTTTGCACGGCTATCGACTATCAGTAAAAATGGAAAGTCTAGTATACACTAATATCAACAATACTAGGTGAATAAATGATTCTACTCAATTCTCAAACGTTGAAAACTATTTCTAATCAGATTCTTATCAGTTATCATATCTCTTATCAGATAACAATAAGTGAATGTTTTCATAAATCAATCATAGAAAATAGGCATTTGTTTTCGTACAAAACATATCAAACTCATATAAGACAATACTTATGCAATTAACTTTCATTAATTCTACTTATGCACAGCGATCATATAGACCAGTGAACAAATCCTGGTCTCTAACTTTATTTTAATATTTCTTTAAATTAACATTATTGGAAATATGATTTCAACCGGGGAACAAATCCGGTAACATAATTTATATCTTAAAAATTCCCTATATGTATTTATTAAGAGATATTACTAAGAAAACTACAAACTATTCCGGCCTGGGAGACGAACCCAAGACCTTCATATCATTAATTCGATATTTCTTTAAGATTCAACTAAGCATTTTCTTATCGGAATATTGTTGCTTGATAATTTGATTTTTAGAAGTTATTCGTAATCGGTTAACTAATAAATTGATTAATAGGCGCGTCGCCAACAATCTCCCCCCCCCGTGCATCAGCACCATCATTTGGGAGGCGTCGCGGGTACCAGGACTATTATTCTGGATGTAGGTCTCTTCAAGATACCTGTGCTAGTAATGACGTCAACCACTCTAGTGTGACCGTCTGGTCCCGGTAGCGTTCTACTAATCTTGCCTTTCGGCCTCGTATTTCGTGGCAATGAATGATCTATTATCAAGACAATATCACCTTCTTTAAGCTCCATAAACTTTCCGTTATTACCTGTTCGAGGTATTAAAGTAGGCATGTATTCTTTTAGCCATCTTGTCCGCTAACCTCTGTGCAGATTTCCAATTGAGTTGACCCGTCAGATGTTGCTCTAAATATAATCCAGGTGGTCGATCACCACATGAGCGTCCCAGAAGAAAATGATTGGGTGTCAAACCCTCTTCAGGACTATCCATACTGAATGTTACCAGAGGTCTGGAATTTACAGTATGCTCTGCTTCTAAAAGCAACGTATGCAGAACCTCCTCTCGCGGGCTCCTTTCTTTGAGCGTAGCGGTCAACGCAATTTTAATCGATCTTACTAACCTCTCCCAGGCGCCACCCATGTGCGGCGCTCCCGGAGGTATAAATTTCCATTTAATATATTTTTTAAATGACTCATTTTTCATGCCCTCATAGCATTCTTCGCATGCTTTCAATAATTCTTTATGTGCAGCTTTGAAATTCATCCCGTTATCGCTGTATATAACGGCTGGTTTTCCTCTTCTGGCGATAAATCGCCTCAATGCCATTATCATTGACGCTGGTGTCAATGAGGCTGCTAATTCTAGGTGTACTGCTCTGGTGGTCAGACACGTAAATAAAACACCCAAACGTTTTTCGTGTCGCCTTCCTATAGTCACACTCATAGGTCCGAAATAATCCACGGCTGAGCATGTAAAAGGTGGTTAATTGTGAGCTATTCTCTCCAGAAGAAGATTTCCTTGTTGCACGTTCTGCGGCTTTGACCTGTATGTGCTGCACCACTGACAATGATGTGACACACTTCGTACTACATTACGTAGGTTCAAGACATAAAATTTTTGGTTCACCTCATTCATCACCGTCTGGTGATTGGCATGTCCAAAATTATGATGAACTTCTCTAATCATCATTTTAGCGATTTCGTGTTTACCGTCTAATACGACAGGTTTTCTACTTTCCTCGGTCAAATTAGACTTAAAAGGTAAACGCCCATTTAAACGGAGTAAGTTATCTTCTCCTATTTCCAAAGATAATTTACTTAAGCGTGAACTTCTTTCAAGCATTTTGCCTGCTTTCAAGCATTTTATTTCCAAATGGAAACACTCGTCTTGAACGAACTTCCAAATTAATAATTCAGCTTTTTCAAGAGCGCTATGTCCAACGCGCTATCGGGTCCTTTAACCGACTTTGCTAAAACTTCGTTGGAACACATAACCGACTTTTCGGCTGCGTTGTCGGGTCCTTTAACCGACTTTCTTAAACTCTTGAATTTTTCTACCGCTTGTAAGGTGCGTGTAGTTGCCCCAAGGAATTTCTTAAAGCTGCTAAATCGTCCGTAGTCGGGTAGACTTAACGGTTCTTGCTTTCTCAGCGCATTTACGCCTTTTGGTTATTTTTCTTCACCAGTTTCTACTCCCTTTCCGACGCCTTCAGCAACGGGTCTAGGTACTTCTAAATGACCTAATTTCTTCACTTCCGATATCCATTTACAAAATAACATGTGTAATTCGTGTGTAACTTCTTCATTCCAAGAGATGCCTGTCCTCCATACTTGCTGGATTAGCGACTTAGCTTGAATCGTTATGGGTGATGCGAGTCCTAAAGGATCGAAGACTGACATCACAGCACTAGTTATCTCCCTCTTCGTAGGCGGTCGTAAACCTTCCATCACCTCTTCCGGTGTGTTACGAAGACCTTTGGAGAAACTTATTATATCCCGTTTGATATTCCAGATCAAACCTAAAGTGCGTTCTGTGTGCTCTTTATCTCCTAGTGAAGCACTGTCGCTCTTATATTTATTTTCCATTTTACATAAAACTTCTGGTCGGTTGCTAGCCCATCCCCTCAGTTGGAAAGAAGCACGTTTATGTAATTCATACATATCGTTTACTATCCTTTCGGCCGTCGTCACGTCGGGAAATGCCTATTGAGAAAAATTGCTTCTTTTGAGAAAAGCTGCTTCTGGATAGATATGTGCATTATCCTGCGCATTCCTATTCTTCACATACATAACGATGCATGGTGATGATGCTGCTCCAAATATGAGTGACGTCATTCTATACTCTTCCGGTGGCGCGTCACGCTTGTGTCGCCATAAGAATCGAAGGCTATCCCTGTCTTCTTCCCGGATTTTCACTTGCAGCAACATTTCTTTAATGTCTGCCATCACTGCCACGCTTCCTTCTCTGAATCGTAGCAGAACTCCAAATTGCGACTTCAGTAAGTCCGGTCCGGTTAACAATGCATCATTAAGACAACGTCCGCCCGTCCTTGCGGCGGCGTCGAAAACTATTCTTATTTTCCTTTTTCGTGGATGAGTCACTGCGAAGTGAGGAAGATACCACGTGCGTGGGGAAATGGAAATATGGTTCGCTTTCTCTGCGTAACCGTTAACGATGAGATTTTCAATTTGCTTCTCATATTCTTTTTTCAACTCGCTATTTTTGTCGAGCTTCTTTTCGATATTAAACAGGCGACTGTCAACCTGCACTCTATTCGACGGCATGCACTCATTATCTGTGCGCCATAACAAAGCAGTCTCGTACCTATTATTAGGTACACGACGTACCGTTTTGCTCAAAAATTTAAAGCTCGTTCTTCTGGGTCGTTCGCGGGTTTTCACGCAGACACTCCCAGAGATTCCAAACTAAAATAATCCTTGATTAACTTCTCCATGTCCTCCTCCTTCTTGGTGGAAATGTGGTTAACAATCTTGATTGGTTTAATGCCACCCGATATGTGACCATGTAAAACCCATCCAAGTTTGGTGAGCGATGCTACAGGTAGGTTCTTACCTCTTGAAATTAATTCACGAGTAACTATGAGATGCCAATTGTCCTGGCCAATTAATATGGTAGGTCTGGACCTCTCATAAATCAACTCGTCTTTAATCGGTGTCAAATGAGAACTCCGTTGCAATAATTCTCGGCTTACTGACTGCGGAGAAAGGTTAAGTGACTTAATTGTTTGTACACTTATCTCCTCTTAGTCGTTCGAGTAAATGCCTTTTATCTTAACGTTTAAGCGATACGAACTGTCGTCGTTAATTCGCTTACCTCCCACGGCTTCAATACGTAATTCTTCTTTACGTCCGCGAGGGGCTAACTTTTTGAGCCATCCACTCCTCAATGAGTGTCATGGTTGATCCCTCATCCAGAAGAGCTGTTGTCTTGACCTTTTCCTAGGTCCTTACAACTCGACCGGTATAATCTTTAAGTATGCACATGCCAGTGCATTCACTGTACTAACAGTTGTAATTTGAGCCTCTTTACCCCCCCTCGTCCCCTTGCGGTGAGATATTTTCATTGGGGTATCGGTGTAGCATTCGATGATGTGACATTCTACATCCCTTTACACCACATTTTTTTCCTTTGCACTCTAACCTCATATGGTTAGGTGACAAACATTGGAAACATACTTTCGCTTTTTTAACCGCTTCCCATTTCTCGCGATTATTCATGCCCTTAAACTTGTAACAACTCACTAAGTATAGAGTGCTCCTTGTTACATATAACACACTTATGTGTTACCCGACTTACAGGCTTATCCAGGGTTATCATAACCACTTGTCGGTTGTGCCCTTTATTATTTCGGCATTCTAGACGCTCGCTTGTATTACTTCGGCGCTCATAGCGCTCGCTTTTGAAACGGTTGCGTACAGACCCCTTTGCGGTGTGTACAGTTTGCTTCCTGAATTCAGGACGCTTCCGTTTTTCAGGCACATTTTCATTGCTTAAAGACGTTCCAAATTGTTCACTCAATAAATTTAAAAACTTGGCCATCTTCTGTAACTCTGGCTCCAAAGGATACTGAGCTCGATATTCAAACCATTTAAATTTAATCATAGTTCCAAGTTTCAAATACTGTGGTACTGAGTATAAATACTGTGGTTGATTCAACGCTTGTATTGTGGCAACCACGTTCGTAATACAACTTGCAAAAGATCCTATATTCCGGCAACCTTCTGCCAATCTTGGCATACGTCTTACATTCTCGATTTCGGCTAAAATGAGCATTTTAACCCTACCGAATCTTCTTTCGAGAGCGTTCATTATTTCTTCAGGTTCACACAAAGTAAACAACAACGACTTAACCGCTTCCTTAGCGGTGCCCTTTAATGCCCTCCTAAGGCGTGCGACATTCTGCACCCCTGAAAATTGGCTTCTCGTGTCTTCAAACACCGTTTTGAAAACTATCCATTCACCCGGGTCTCCATCGAACACCGGTAATTCCTGGAGGAAACGAAGTTGGGAAGACTTATCTTTACCCGCTATCTTTATTGCACTCACAATCGCTTCGGTCAATTCTGACACCTCACTCGCGTGTGTTTTCCGTGCATTTCCTTGGTTGCGGTCGATCTCCGCCCTTTTGCGGCATGATCCTTTACACGCTTCCTTATCAGTAATATCGGGTTGCGTTACACTAACCGGCGCGCTCATTATGGTCTGTTGAACCCAACTCCTTACGAAAGGTTCCACCTGAGTATTCCGCTCTTCATCATCCTCACTCGAGTCGATCTCCTCTTCTCGGTTGAGTCGTGCCAACTCCAATATAGACTTGGCTAAGGCAGCAGCTGCCTGTGCTCGTTCGAGCTCTGAGCGTTCGAATTTAATCCGCGCTTCTAATTCGGCTTTCAGCCTCGCCGATCGCGATGACCTACTACCTCTCTGTGACCCTTTGTCGCTAGTGTGCCCGATTTCGGTCCTTTGACCTACTTTTTCGACTACCGTTTCACTCCTGGATATAACGGATTGTTGTGCGGTGCTGGCCTGCGTACCACTGGTGTCCGTCCTGTTGCTTGTCATTGCCATGGACGCCCCTGAGTCCCACATGGATGTGGACGTATCGGTGGTGGCTCCACTTGAAGGAGTTGTCCCACTCGAAGCAGTAGCTGTGGTCGCTCCAGATGATTCCACCTCTTTAGCCTTTTTTGAGAGCCCTGTCCTTGTCTTGGTTCCTTCGCTTCTCCCTGTCTGGTCTTGTGCCTTCTTCATCTTGCAGGAAGGTTATTGTTGGCCTACAGTCCCTAACTGTCCCAACGGTCCCTACAACCCCTTACCTACAACCCTTCTACACCCCAACCTAACCCCACTACCCCTCTCCCCTTTATCTCCCAACCCTACAACCTTACTACCACCCTAACAGCCCTATCAGCCCTATCAATCCTGAACGGGGCCTACCGAGGTGAGCCGTCCAGGGATGGAGTCGTGCAGGAAAGGAATGGAGGAAAGGTTTAGGAACTGTCCCGCCAAGGAATATGACGAAACAGTCGAGCGGTAGTGCAAGCGCAGTCTCGCTCGAGAGAACTGCTCCACCCGAAGGTGTTGTGCCAGAGCCCAACCGTTTGGCACCGTTTGGTGGTCGGGATGTATGTTGCGCTTCGTCGCCCAGTCGCCGGTGACGCCTCGTCCAGGCGCCCTCTTCCGGCCACAATGCAGTCAGGTGCCCACGAGCACCCTCGCCTGGCAGCAGCAGCGGTGGATGCTTCTTCTTCTTGCACCCTCTGATGACCCGACAGGAAATGCCGGACACGGTCGTCCGACAGGAAATGCCGGACACGATCGTCCGACAGGAAAATGCCGAGCACGCTTGCCCGACAGGAAATGCCAAGCCCTGCTTGGCTACGATGAGCGCCTTCACAAGGCACCTGCGCCTGGCTGCGATACGTGCCCCATGCGAGCACACGCCCCAAGCCGCAATCCCGGTTTTCTTTCTTCCGGTAGTTCCAGGTCCAGTCCTACTGCGCTGACCTGGTCTTCTGGCCTTTGGTCCTGTTGCTTCAGCTCAAACCTCTGGCTTCCTTCGATTGCTGATCTTCACTCGGCTCCGAAGGTCTTCTTTTTCCATAACCAGCAGTCCACAGCTGGTTCCTTGATCCGGCTCGAAGGACCACTTGAAAAGGAACCAGACGAATGTTAAACTAAGAAACAGAAGGGGGAATCGAGGCTTCTCTCGATCCGGCCTCCTATAACGCCTACGTTGGGTTCGGGAACAACGTATGTGATCTCCGCAACGGAGTAACACACAAGGGCGATAACCTCTTCCTTTTCAGAAAATAGGTTCAGGCGGGGATTACGGGTCTTCCGAAGTCGTCCCGGTCCCAACGCCTTAATTCTACGATGTGGACTGTATTATTTTGAGAGAAGAATTCCTTGGGAATAAAACAGCAATTATCTTCAAACCGTTCCGTGAGAGAGTAATTACTTTTCCCTATCACTTCCCTACACTTTTTCTTTCTTCTTCTTAATGACTGCTGGTCTTGCACTTTTCCCGAAGTTTCTCCGAACTTCCCCGAACTTTCCCGAAGGATTCCCGAACTTCCCCGAACTTTCCCGAAGGATTCCCGAACGAATTGCAAGAAAACTCGTTTACTGAGCTACCCCAGAGCTATACGCGAAAGTGAGCCGCGCCATTTGTGCGCTTGCGCAACTCAATTACATCAATTTGTACTATCACTCTCTCACGGTTTACCCAATAACTTTATTTGTATAAGACATACATTTATACAATTTACTTATAAAGATAGCACAAAAAATATCTATACTACGATAATGTACATTACATTTTTATATCACAAAAAACCTTTTATTTATTTAACAAAATATGCTTATTTTACTCGCATGTTCAAAGTTGGAATTTCTTAAATATTTAACATAGAAAGTTAAAAAAATGTTTTCCACTTGAAATTATACATATCTTAACCAATACAACAGTTTAATTTACATTTTCTCTACACATTTCACTATTAAAACACTTTTAAATTTCTTATACAAAACTATCATTATTTCACTTATTCACAGGAATTTTCACATAAAAATAACACAGAATTCACCTCTTTTACACGTACAATCAATCTGAAATGTTTTACAAGTCATTTTTACATAAATTGCTGTAATTGCAAATATTTAAATTTCTACATATTTGGCCTCCTAAGTACGTGGCTAGCGTGCGTCTGTGAACTCACACTATTTGAACAACTAACTTTTGCACGGCTATCGACTATCAGTAAAAATGGAAAGTCTAGTATACACTAATATCAACAATACTAGGTGAATAAATGATTCTACTCAATTCTCAAACGTTGAAGACTATTTCTTATCAGATTCTTATCAGTTATCATGTTTCTTATCAAACAATATAAGTGAATGTTTTCATAAATCAATCATAGAAAATAGGCATTTGTTTTCGTACAAAACATATCAAACTCATATAAGACAATACTTATGCAATTAACTTTCATTAATTCTACTTACGCACAGCGATCATCTCGACCGGGGAACAAATCCTGGTCTCTAACTTTATTTTAATATTTCTTTAAATTAACATTATTGGAAATATGATTTCAACCGGGGAACAAATCCGGTAACATAATTTATATCTTAAAAATTCCCTATATGAATTTATTAAGAGATATTACTAAGAAAACTACAAACTATTCCGGCCTGGGAGACGAACCCAAGACCTTCATATCATTAATTCGATATTTCTTTAAGATTCAACTAAGTGTTTTCTTATCGGAATATTGTTGCTTGATAATTTGCTTTTTAGAAGCTATTCGTAATCGGTTAACTAATAAATTGAAATATTCTTATAGGCGCGTCGCCAACAGAACCTAAACTAAAATTATGGCTTAAAAGCATAAATATTGTGAATTGGCTTCCGAAACAAAATGATCATATTTGTTCCAGACGACTGTTTTATTAGACATGAGAACTGCACCACTTTGAAAAAGTGCAGTATACCCACAATATTTTCTGGTAGTACCAGTAACAGTAAGTATAAAAGTATTAGATTATTATTTCGGATGTTTTTTATTTCTTCCTTCCTCATTTTCCACCAAACTCAAGGGCCATAGCTAAGTGTCGAAAGGTCGCCTGATTATGTCAAGCTACGTTGGATGTGTGTTAGTGGGCTGCGGCTAGAGGAGGTTCCTCTTCCTGTACCGCTGTAGTCTAGGTGGAGTCGTAAGGGAAGAGGAGTGTTGGTATGGTGATTGGCGATGCGCCACTCGACTATCTTTCGTGACTTTGGTGAGGCTGCACCTCTTGATGCTTCCAAGTGCTCGTTTTTCTCTGGCTCCATTCACATATTGGGCTCGGGGAATCTGTAGTTTGGGTGGAGTTAGAGGCCATGAAGGGTAGTGTGGCTTGTATTTCTGGTGCGTCTTATCTGAGAATGAAAACGGGCAGAAGAAGTCAGCGACTACGGAGGGGCTGCCATTGGGCGGCTGGCGCCGGAGGGGCCGCGGATGTGCATGGGAGCGTTTCCGTGACCCTGCCAATTTGCGGCGGAGGTAGCACACCATAGGGTTTTAGTAAGTGCGAGTCTAGATATTTAATTCTCTCTCGAGTCTCAAAATTTAATTTGTGCCTTAACTTCGTAGTGGCCCTACTTTAGTTTCTTTCTTATTTACAAATTCACGTTAAATAGGCGTTATTATAGCAGCTGATTTGTTTTTTATAATACTAGAACTAAATGAACGGTTGACAATAAATTATTTTAGAATTTATGTTTTTATTTTTAAAAGTAGTTAGTTTAATCTTAACAATTTTTTAATTGAATGGTCTAAGGACTACGATGGCTATGGCTAATCTTACTGTAGAGATGATGAAGACGGGGTGACGTAATATCCTCGAAATACTTTACCACTGTATTGGAAGACGTTTTCAAGCTACTGGACTGGAAAGGATACGGTACTAATGTCAATGGCGTGTACATCACTCAACTTCGATTTGCCGACAATATAGTCCTTATGGCAGAATCGCTGGAGGACTTAAGCACTATGCTCAATGACCTCAATAGTGTCTCCCAACGGATAGGTCTTAAGATGAACATAGACAAAACAAAAGTCATGTGTAATGTCCATGTCACACCTATGCCGGTGGTTTTTGGGAGCACTTAGCTGAAGTTATTGACGAGTATTTTTACTTGGGACAAATAGTCCGACTAGGTAAGTTCAACTTCGACCGAAGGTCAATCGATGGATTCAACTCGTCTGGGCAGCGTTCGTTAGATTACAATACATCTTCTCGTCAGGGGAATACCTCAAAACTAGATTGTCAACTAGTGCGTGTTGCCAGTGATGACCTATGCATCTGAGACGAGGTATTTCACTGCTGAGTATATTAGGAAGCTCGAAGTCGCTCAACGAGCTATGAAGAGGGCTATGCTCAGGGGTTCAAACTTAAGAATGAGGATATCTTCAGCACGTAAGCTGAAGTGGCAATTGACCGGCCATATAGCTCGAAGAACCGAATATCGATGAGGAAAAAAGGTTCTCGAGTGGCAGCCTCGTACCGGCAGGTGAAGTGTAGGACGTTCCCCCAATAGATGAAGTCAAAACCTGGTAAGACATGCAGGAAATTGATGGATGCAGGTAGCTCAGGACCGTGCTTTATGGCATTCCTTGGTGGAGGCCTATGTTCAGCAGTGGACTTGTGAAGGGTTTTAATGGTGATGAACGATAATGGAATTATATTAATATGATACATACATAGAATAGACGTTACAGGTAGAGTCCATTTTATTTATTTAGGTATAGGTAGGGTATAGAATTTGTATCGATATAATTTGGTACACTATCTCATCCCTATTATTAGTTCCGTGGACGTGCACTTCTACTGTCAGCGCCAAAATGGCGGAAATCAAATCGTTTCATCATGTCACGGTGTACAGCCAGTAAAGCGTACTTGTATATATAGAGGTCAGTGCATCTATAGGACTTCCTACGCGGGCCCCGTCTTTGACCACGCAAACCCTAATATTTTAAATGAACTTCAAATAGTTCAGAACCTCTTCTGTCGTCGAGCTGCGAACGCACCTTGGTACGTCCGTAATGCCGACCTTCTTCGGGACTTAGAGCTCCCAACAATTCAACAATTTTTTAAAAAACTCTGAGAACTTCTTCAAAGCCTCAGAGTCGCACCCAAACCATTTAATTCGTGAGGCAGCTTCTTATGCAGCCCCACCCCCTTCTCGCTATCGTGTCCGCAGGCCGAGAAACTCTCTCGGGTCCGAACCCGCCTAATAAACTGTCAAACGACCTGAACTGTCCCCTGGCGGCTCAGGCCAACTCTAATTAAATTAAATTATTGTAATAACTAACATTAATTTGCCTTCGTAGGCACTCCCTCAGCGGCACTTAGCCGCCTGCGCCCTCTTTTCCCAAAAGAGAGTCGCTCATGATAAGGCACAATACAGCTTGATCAGCCGGCTGCCTGTCCCCAAAGGCGGTTTTTAGAGGGTATCACTTAGGGTCCCCGGTAGGACAGTGAGCCCCTCATAACCACGATAGACCGGCTATCGTGGTATGCGTAATGCATTTTCCGCCTCCCTACGTATAGGGTAGCCCTTTAATTGCTTGGGGCGCAAAAAAAAAAAACTGTAGGATTAAGCCTGCGAAAGAATAAGATAGAATACAATGCGGTAAGCGACAATAGGGTTCTAATCCGCCATTCGACTACTTCGTGTACCACTCCTAACTCCTAACATAAGCATTTTATTATTTTTAAGCAATTTTATTAATTTTAATAGCATTGTCAGTATTGCAAAAAAAGTGTTTCCTATTATTTCGGTCTCCCCTTTGTGCAGTCCTTTAAACATGGTTAATATAATTTTAACTGTAGAAATAAACAATTAAAAAGTAATAAATTTAATATATAAAATAAAATTCATATTAAATTAATATAATAAAACTACTTTTACGGATTTTATCGCGATTAATATAGTTGATTTTAATTCCCAACGTTTCGGTTTCGGAAATGTTCATATGGTCACGGGTACTGAGGTAATTGACGTACCGATGTCACTATTAACCCGAAGTACCTTCAGCTTTTAATAATTATTATAAGTGCTAGCGCAGGTCCCTGCCTGTTGAACAAGCTGAAATGTAAACGTTTAACAGCTCATCTCATAGTTCA